TTTTATATTTAAAATCTGTTGTTTTAGACAATATTTGTCTATGCAATAAACTTTTAACCAAAAAGCCCTAACTTTTTTTGGGTGAATAGGGTCTTAACTTAGGTATAGCTTCAAACAAAACTCCTTACTTTTAATTAAAATATTTGAAAGATCCCTTATTGGTATAGCAGTGAAACAAACTTAAAAAATAATAATAATCTGAAATAACCTCAAAATAACTAAAAATTATCGAACTATTTGTTGTTCTTTTTAGAAGCCCTCTTAAGTTTTTCATCCTCAAAATATAAACGAGAATTAGTGGAAATATGTTACTTCAAAAGACGATACTCATAGCTACTTGTTGCGCTCTGATTATCATCAAGTTGCTTCAAAAATGCCTAGCACTCCACCTTAGAATGAAAAGTACCCTTATCATGCAACAAACATTGGGGAGTTCAAAACCTCAAAATTAAGGGAAATATGTTTTGACAAAGTAAGTCATTCTCCATGACCCTAGCAAATATATTGTACTACAATGTTTTGACAATATACACAAGTAGTGATAAAATATGATAAACTTTCCTACCATAAGCCACTTTGTTATCATAAGTATGAGACCCAAGCTCCGGCTTTGAAACTTTCCTTTCTCTATCAACTATGGGTTCTTAACATAACTATATGGAAAAGTACATAAAGAGACCATTTACTTTTTGTACAAAGAGATCACAATCACTTTTGTTCATTGAATTTCAAATAAAGTGGTTGTGAATGTACAATTGACTAGACTCAAAGTTCAAAAACATTATCTCAAACTTTATGATACATCTTAAGACATCTAATTTAACATCAATTGACTAGGAGTAATTGTGACCTCCTTGTAAAAATGATAAACAGTCTCATAGTACATAATTCCTAACTATATATATACATGTTTGCCCTTTTTGTTGACCCGAGTTAAGAGTAGAGATGCCATTGTCCTCCTAAAAACTCTTATAATGTTAAACTTTGATCTTAATAAATGTTTTACCAGTAAATTTTGTTTCGATAAATGGAAAATAGCTATGATTTTGTGAACTATGGGAAACCATAGTTCATTGAACTGATATGAAAATACTATGATCCAATAAACTATGGAATGCTATTGTTCAGTGAGTCGTTGTTACTCAGTAAACAGATTCGTTGATAATGAGAAACAGAACCAGCAAGACATGACATGATTATGGTTTTCCTATAGTCCATGGGATTATGGTACGCTTCCGATTTCATAAGCAATAACGAAGTTATTAAATTGGGAGAGTATTTAGATGAATGGGAAGTTATTTGTAACACACAGCCCAAAAATGGTAAAAGAACTAGTTTCACAGCCAGAAATTCTGCAAATCCATCACCTCCACCTTGAAGAATTGATTTCAAGTCCTAAACTGAGGATCATCCATTTTTAATCTTCATAGATCTGCTGGATCTACAGTAGTTTTAGAGCTCCAAACTTTACAGTTTAGTGTGGAAATTAAGGGAAATCTATCAAAATACTCACAGGAGATAGACTATTCAACTCCCAACTCAATATCATAATCCTTTTTTAATGGGTATTTTCAAATTCAATATAATCATACGGATAAAGTGTTAAATTATTATTCTAGGTAATTTCATAAATTTCCCAGAAATTAATTTACAGGGCAAATACTTTGTTTTATAGTGCCTGATAAATTTCCGAGTGGGGTTTTGAGGTACATCTGTATACAGCCATTGCCTTATTAAATCCTCACACTTGGATGAATGGTGAATCCTGACCATCCAATTTAAATGAATAGTTGCTAATCCACTAGATCATCCCAGCACTCGGTAGGGACTATCCAAGATATTATGCAAACAAAACTCAACGTCCATGTGCCCGATGCATTGCATTGGAATGGACGGTAACAGATGCAACAAATCCATTCCCATGCAACAAAACTTGTATATATGATACACCCTCTTTGAGTGTTAATTAGAGGAATTCATTTAAAAGTTGGAAATTTTTATTTTACATTGTTAAAATTTGGATTATTGTTCATTCAAGGAGTTATTGCTTTATTTGGTTCCCAACCAAAACAAACAGATATCCGACAGCCCCATCCTTTGGTTAAGACATGTCTCTACTAAAATAATAAATAACAAACTTATCTTTCATCAAAGTTCGATTCCCGCCGGAAATAACTTTTTTAGCACAGAAAAACTCTCAAATTGATCATCACCACTTTATGATGATAGATTTGAAGAAAGAAAAAGAGCTTCGGTCTCTTGAATTACTGTCTTATAACACATTGTTTGAACTGTCTAATATAGAATGTTCACAAATTTGTTAAATCTACACTATTTTTTAAACTTTAAATCTCACAATCTGAGACTACTATAGATACTGCCACGTTGAAACTACACCTTCCAGCAAAAATTTGAGGTGACGGCATGTCATATCATATGATAAATCTGGTCTAATCACACCCACTAATATATCCTAATTTTGCTCTAGCAATGGGCCACTAAGCATAATAAAACATCCATACAAGCAAATGTATGATTAATGGCTCATTTTTCAGAATTAATTTGTATTTGTTTCCCCTAAGACATGCTAGTACAATAACGTCTAGATCACCTCACCGTCATGGAAATTAGTCCCATACACATGTGGTGTACCACAGCATGCTATCCTAGTTACACATCAAGATGCATTAGTTATGGTCTGATTTGGCAAAGATTCGACAGATTCACCAAAATGCCACCATCCCTGCCATCCATTCTAGAGGACAGAAGGTGTGATAGCCTCCAACGGATCGACAATGGATCATACATGGGAATGGAGTTAAGGTTGTGGTGGTAGCACCATCTGAGCTTTAGCCATCGGTTTATATTTCCATTCCCTCTATCACATTAAAAATGACTAACTATCTCTAAAAATGGATAGGGGCATTTATTCCCCATTGACCTATCAAAACAATTACCCAAAAAAAAAATGCATTATTTGTTTAAGAAAAGAGAAGTATACTGCATACCATATCGAACACCATAGAGTTATCCACCTTGTATTCCCAATGCCAAACCATAGAAGATAAATGTGCTTCAATTACCAGACAACCATCAAGAACCAAAATCCATCTCCACCGTACATCCTTAGAAAACACATCCCCCTGGTTGATCGTATACCACAGGGACACATACCAATTCTTTGCTTTCCAATCCAAATTTTCATCACTATTATCGAGATTAAGATAAATTCAAATGCAATAAGAAACAACATCATTATCTAAGGTTCTGTTTGGAGGCTGTTAAATCTAATCATGAATGGACTATATCTTATTTAAAAATTAATATATTAACTTAGGCCCTTGGTACAAATAGAACACTAGATCTCGGGTCTTAGCAACTAGCCACCCTAAACGTCCAAGCCTAGAGGTCACTCATCTGTTAATGGTTTTGTATATATGTTGTATTATATCTAACATTATTTAAATTATTTTTATCTAAAAATATATGATTTTCAACAAATTACTTTGAATAAAGAAAAATATATTTTGAAAAGACAAACTTATATATAAAATTGCATATAAATTTATCTCATAAAAAATTTATGAATTAGACAGTCAAACAACAAAAAATTCACTAAGACTCCAAACAATAAATACTTTATTATTGATCTTAATTGTATTAAAACGATAATCACTACATTCAAACAAGCCCTACATGTCTTTATATACTGAACTCCTTTCGTTAAAGTCCCATCACTCCTTTTTATTGAGAAGTTCCTATCACTCAATTTTAAATTTTTAATTAAAAAGCCTCCAACTTCATATATATATATAAATCTTGATGCAAGTAGGTGTTCCATCTAAAAACAATAGAAACTAACAATCCAAATGGCTTTTTACTAGAATTATTATTTATAGTTTTTAAAATTTATTTATTTGTTTATAATCATGATGTCCATGTTAGAGATTATGTGTCCTTAAAAATTAAGTTTTAAAATCCATCTCAAAAATAGATTTATTAAGCAGCCCGCAGAACTACATATGCGGGCTTAGCCGCATAGAAACCGGGTCCTATATATAATATATTATCTTATGGTGCAGTAGCTTAAATGGCATTCCCCAATTTGGAGTGCATGTCCACGACAAAGCAACGGCTGCGAGTGCGAAGCGCACACGGTGGGTGGCCGACACACACGGACACACATCCGCGTCCCAAAAATGAAACTCTCTCTTTTTCTCTCTCCTCTTCCCATTGAAAGCAGAATTGTTTGACCCCTTTCATGCGCCAGCTGTGACACGTGCCCTTTTAAAAAGTTTTTTATGCTCCCGCTGCGGAGCATATACTGTCTATTTACTCCTTCGGGTGCAATTCAATCTAGGGGCATCTCTGGTAAAACCTCCAGTTTTAGCAAACACATCTTAGAAGTAATTTTAGGATCCCAAGTCTTGAAGATGTAATATCGTCTCCCTATAGATTAAGGTGACTAAGGTAAAAAAGGAACAAATCAGAATTATACTCCCCCAGTTAGAAAAACAATATCCTAAGCTTGAATAGAGATTGTTTAATTTCTTAAGAGTAAGATCTAAATGTTATGAAACTTAAAATTCTCATTTAAAAATGATTATTTAGCTACCTTTAGATAGTTTTGCTAAAAGATATTCTACTCCCTTGAAAGTATATTGTCCATTTACTCCATTCCATTGTGTTAAATGAGATTAGTTTTAGGACCCTAAATAGAAACCATCTAATTTTTGGAGAGTGAAATCTAATTGTTAGAAAAAATCAAATTCTAATTTTCTTTCGAAAATAATGATACTAATTTCAAATTGAAAAAATTATCCCAAATAAGTCATTTGTCCAATAGAAAATCCGGTTAAATAGGTTGTTTTCCCGGAGGGAGTAGATGGTGAGTATGCTCCCGCGGAAGCATAATACACTCACTCTAAGTGCACAACACCATCATCAGTCCTCTCTTTCTCCACTTCACAGTTTTCACAAACTCTCTCTCCTCTTCCGTCTCGAAGTGGAATTCTTTTCTCTGTCTCCTTCCCAGAAAGCTAAAAACCCATGAATATTCCAATTCAAAACCCTATATAAGACGCCTCCACTCGCCCAATTTCCTCCGAGAAAAAACCAGAACCCTGGTTCTTCAATTATTAGCGACTGAGCTAAAGAAAGCCCTATTTTGCTTTATCCTAAAAAAATTTGGAAACCTTGGTTTTTTGAGTTATGGGAAATTGCACCTCTCACTACTCTCCCTCACGAAAAACCCCTCCAACAATCATCGATTTAGGGGGAAATACCAGCCGAGTGCTCGAACACACGAAAATCGCAGAAATCATGCTTGAAAATCCGGGCCATTTAGTTTCTCCGGTGGCCGGAATATTACGAACGCGCCGGATATCGGCCTTGAAAGCAGATGAAGAGCTTGCTTCCGGTGAGGTTTACTTTATTTTCCCGGCAAATAGGCTCAATTCTAGGGTTTCAGATGAAGAGATGGCATTTTTAGATGGGAAAAAGAGGGAAAAGAGTTCCCGGAAAGTTTTCCCGACGTCTGGAGAAATGGCCGAGAAACCAGTGGCGTTGCCGAAGTTTACAGTGGAAGAAGCCGGAGATTGTGATACCGGTTTTGCGGGTCACCGGCTAGCAGTTTACAGGAACTGGATGCCGGTTCTCGAGACGATATCCGAAGCTTAAATACTACGTAAAAGCCCCTGTAATTCTGTAAATGACTAGCACGTCCTCATAACATTTTCCAAAGGGAAAACCTGACGAGTTGGCACTCATGGCGTGAAGAGCCGTCCACAAAAGCCAAAATGGCATACCACACACGCCTGGTGCAGGTGTAATTCTTTGATTTTTCATGGTTTCTCCAAAGATAGAAGCTTTTGTAACCTGATCCTATTTCAAGGTTTCACCGTGCTAATTGCTGTGTAATTGGAATGCAGTTTGCATGTTTCATTATTATCATTCAAGCTTTATCCCAAATTTTTAGAATTCAATTCGTAAGTTTTATTTTGTGCAATTTGTTGTGTTTCTTTCTTTGAACCTAATTTGTTAAGTAAGGCCTCTTAAACGGCCATTTATTAATAAATAAATAAAACGGGCTATCATCTTTATTTTACAAAAGTGAGGGACCCTCAAAAGCTCAATGGTAAAGGTCATTCTCACAATGGAAAGCTCTCCAATTGATCATCTCAATTTCAAAGTGTTGAATGTCAAAAATAGATAAATTTAAGTCTTAAAAATAGTGCATCTTATAACACATTATCTGGACTCTTTAATTTTCAATATTTTTGGGTGTGTAGATTTGATTGATTGCACTATTTTTGAAGCTTTGAAGTTCATAATTAGGGGTGAAAACAAATTTTCAAGTCATTATAAAGCCTTCTGGCAATGAAACTGCATCTTGTGACCAGGTTTGAAGGTCCACTTTATTTTGATTGTTTAAGGTAGGCACCTTATATAAACCACACCCTTTAACAAGCAAGTCTCTTGTAATTCGATTACTTGTCTCCCCCCCCCCGCAGTTCCCTAGAGCAAAAGGATTGTGAAATTAGGGGCAGTCTTGTTACATGGACACTAACACTGACACGAGTGTCGGTGTCCAACGTGTGTTTAGCTGGTCTAGTTTTCTTTTAAGAATGTCTGAAGCCACAAGACGTATCTTAAAGGAAAATGGTTTGATAGGGCTGCAACTTTATTAAAATAAGTAAAGCCTCATCTCATAACTCATTGAGAATTGCAATTCAAGCATTGAAAAATCTTTACATCAATCATCTCGGCTTGAACGTAATGTTTGTGAAAGAAAAAAAAAAGGATTTAATGCTCTAAAAATAAATAGTGTATATTACAACAAATTATCTAGGCCATCCACTTGGGCTTAAAAATAAGTGTTTATAGATCCTCAAGATTTGTAGCATTTTTTGAGTTTCAAATTTTATTTTTGGTGTTGGACATTGATTTTGGAGCCATCATGGAGATTTCCACAAATAGTGTCGAAAGGTATTGCTTAAGTACTGAAAATCTTTGTTATAGCTAAAAATTTGTTTTCATCTTTATTTATAAAATTTAAAGCTTGAAAAATATTGTAGATTGAGCACATATGTAAACTCTTGAAAATCTTGAAAATTGACAATCCAGATGATGCATTACAAGATGCACTATTTACAAGACTTTAAATCTATTTTTTCTCGTGTCCATACATCTTGAAGTTGAGATGGCCCATTTGAAGATTTTTTAGCATAGAAAGAACTCTTCTAGTGAATTTTTGATGTGCGCCTTAATTTGATTGTTTAGAGCTTCGCTCTTGTATAAACTTTTTCCCTTAAATAAATAGGTTACCCCAATCATGCAACTAATGCAAAACAAAGAGGGACAGTCGTGATCATTTGTTTGCCTCATGTAACTTCATCTATTCATGATCTCATGTAACTTCACCTATTCATGATCATTTGTTCACCTCGTAAGACTTCATCTACTTCCAATGGCAAACAACGTTGCAAAAGTCTAACACAATTACCATATAGTTGCAAGCAATACCCAAAGCCTAATACTAAACTGATCCAAAAGAAATTCCCAAACAAGTTTCTTGATACATTATAGAAGGTCCCCCACTGTAATATAAATAACTTGGGAAGAAAGGAAGTATACAACTAAATCGAATCATAATCAATCCATTAAACCACTTCTTAATAGAGAATTACATGGAAAATCCAAAATTGGATACGTGGCTCCCGCAAACCTTCTCCCAGTAACGATAGCAGGCTTCTTAGTTATAAGAGATGGAATTGCTAATTTATTCAAGTTTTCACTGTGCAACTTGCTAAGTAAAAGGAAAGCAATTCGCGTTACGGTTAATGCAATTTTTACTGTTAAAAAAAATGGAGTTGATGCAATATGTATCTTTCTTTGAATTAATTTATCCCTGGTCTTTGCCGGTCCATCATAAGAACCTGCTTGGATATAACATATAGGATAGATATAGCTTCGTCTGCTCCACTACTCGAGGGTATCAGCCCTTTATGTAATGCACGAAAGATAATGATGATAGGCCCAGCAATGGGCCGGGCAATCTGGCCCTAAAAAACTAGGGGCTGGGCCACAAGATGTGCCCCAAAGGCCGGGCCACCACAGCTGTAGGGCAAAGCAAGGGCCACTAGAGTGCCACCCTACCCCGGCCTTGACCAATGCCTTTGGATCGGGCCAGGCTTGGGCCAACACATAAGGATTAGGGCCATGCCAGGGCTGAGGCGGGCATGGCCCATGGCCCATGGCCCAGCCTGTCGACAGCCCCAAGTAAGGACACTTGTACCCTTCTTGCGGATGGGAGTCCACCCACACAAATAACAGTCCCCAAAGCAAGAGGACGTAGGGGTGACTTCCAAGGTCTCGTGTGGACATGTTAATAAGCTTAAATGGGCATTCACGAAAGGTTACGCTCTTAAATGGCCATAATGACTTGTAATAATATCCAAGATCAGTCATTTAGTATCTTACATGGTGTTAAAAAAAACGGATTAGTGACCTGGATTGCCCCATCCAAACAATCGGTCCATATCAACAGTTTAGATCAGCAATCCGGCCAAGTGACTTGGCCAATAAACTCTGAAAAAAGAGAGTAGAGAATAAGAAAAAAAAAGAAGAAGGTAGAGCCAGATCAGCCGATTCTTTGATAGAACCAAACTAGTTTTATCAGAGAACTAATTGATTCCTAGTGGAAATAGTCAAATTCTTGATATATGGTGGGAATCAGACCTATGCCACTGATTCTTGATCCAGATGGGATGATTCTGATTACGATTGACCTTTTTAAAAAACCCCAATATTATCCTATTATTTATTTATTTCCAAATAGCCTGTCAAAATACACATTATCATCAATTAGAATAGCCGAAAAAAAGCAAAATGTTAAAAACAATAAATTATATAAGGTATCAACCTTATTCTATAAAAGTAAGGTGCACCTAAATAGACTGTTTTCACTTTGCAAAGCCCTCCAATTGATTATCTTGACCTCGAGATGTACAGATACAAAAAAATTGTTATTTCAAGTCTTGAAACGGGGAGTAGATTTACCTTCTTTTTTTAGTTTCAAGTGATGTAAGTTTATTGTAATTTTCTTTCGTTTCCTTCATTAATAGAGATGATAACATTTGTTCCAAAAAAAACAAAAAAAGTCTTAAAAATGGTACACTTTGTCTTCAATTTCAAAATTTTCAAGTGTTTATAAATTTACATGATCTGCACCATTTTCAAAATAGTAAATTTAGAGACAAAAACAATCTTTTAGAGTATCACAAAGTTTTTTGGCACAAAAACTACATCTTTTGGCATCAAATAGAGACGAGCCTTACTTAGAATAGTTGAAAAAGAGTGAAATGTTAAAGGAAAAATAAATTGGAGTAATGATACTATGAGATCCTCTCACACCGATGTGAGTAGGACCCCAAAAGATCACCATTAAATTTTGACACAGATCTCTAGAAAAGTTTATCACATGAATGTGGGACTTGGGTGAATGGGTTTTCTAGAGATTTGTATCAAAATTTAGTGGTGATCCTTTGGGGTCCTACTTACATGGGTGTAGGAGGGTCTCATAGTGCCATTACTCAAAAAATTATATAAGGTATCAGCCTTATTCTATAGAAATAAGGTGCACCTCAAAAACCCACCTAAATAGATTGTTCGGACATTGCAAAACCCTCCAATTTATGATCTTGACCTCGAGATGTACAATTATGAAAAAAAATTGATTTCAAGTCTTGAAAATAGCACATCTTGCAGCGTATTTTCTTGACCGTCAATTTTCAAGATTTTCAAGTATGTATAAATCTACTATGTGCACATTTTCACAATATTAAATTTCATAATTAGCGAAATCTTTTAAACTATCACAAGGTTTTTTGGCCCCAAAACTGCATCTTTGGGCATAAATTAGAGACAAGCCTTACTTGGATTGTTTAAGATTTGCCACCTTATACAAACCACATCCAGTGTTAAGTAGTCTCTTAAATATTAATCCATTCCCTTAAATAAGTTTCCCTTGTTTTTCCGTGACCATCTATTGACGGCATTTTGCCCATAAACGAGGTTGCATTCATGAAAACTGCGCCTTAAATTTTATTTATTAAAGGACTTGTAACAAGTGATTAACATGTTATTTTTCATACAAGGCAATTGCTTAAGTTTTCTCCAAGTTTTTGTCTAAGAACTTAGAAGAAGTCTTTAACATATTCCTGTTCATATAAAATAATCCTCTTGAAATTAAACAAAGACGATTTCTCAAAATAGTAACTTCTTATTTCAATAAGAAAAAATTGTTCTTAAATTCTCGAATTACTAGCGCGCATATTGTATCAGAACTTCAATATGTGGATTCACCCAAAAAAAAAAAAAATTCAATATGTGGACTTACATACTAAAACTTCACTTCCAATAAATATTGATATAAAAAGAACCAATAATCACCAATTTTTTATAGGTAAAACAAAAGAGTTTCTATTTTGACAAAAGAGAACACAGGAAGAGAAAAAGCAAGATAATTCTTATTGGCAGAGTTCATTATTCAATTTATTTTTCAATAAAATAAAATATAAGAAGGGAGAGACTCTACATTAGATTAAAAATTACACTATCCAATTTATTTTTCAATAAAATAGGATATAAGAAGAGATGGACTCTACACTAGATTAAAAATTACACTATCATCCCATTAGTGTGGTCTAGACTTCTCTCTTAACAGGGTCCCATTCTAGCTGATCTCTTCACCTCTTAAAGGATTTTATAATAGATGAAATAAATGGGATGGTCCTATTTGTGCTGACCTCTTGTTTGTCCCTAAATTGTAGAATAAATAATGGAACATGGTTTGATAGGGCTGCAGTCCTATCAAAATAAGTATAACCTCATCTTAAAACACACTAAAAATTGCAATTTTGGCATAAAAACCTTCAACTTGATCATCTCTGCCTTAACCATTATGATGCTGTTTTTGGGTAATTCAGTAGGGAAGATATGCTTCTACCTATTTTTTTTAGATAAATTAGGGAGTTATCATTTTTTGAGTATGTCAATAGGTGGTGTCAACAGGATTGAAAACCACAATATGGTAACTAGATATGGGGGTGCAACCACCATGATCCAGCGCCTTTCCTACCTTGACCATTATGGTTCGTGAAAAAAATTATGATTTTAAATCCTAAAAATAGTATAATACTTTAACAAATTATCTAAACAATCCATTTCGCTCTAAAAATAAGTGTTCACAGATCCACAAGATCTTTACTATTTTTTTAGCTTGAAATTTCATAACCGATATTAAAAATTGATTTTAGAGTCATTATGGAGATTTCTGATGCCCAAAATGTTTTTTCGGATGAGGATACAAGGTGAGGCTTTACTTTGTTTTCATAAAGCCTAGGCCTCATAAAAATTGCAGCCATAAATAATTTCGAGAGTAAAAACAAGTGCTGCCGTGGAGAATTGCTCATTTTCTTTCAATCAAGAAGCTTGTTTTGACACTGATCAAATGTGCCAAAAATTGATCTTCAAGAAAATTTCTTGAGAACGAGTTTATTGCTATCATAGTTCAACATCTTTTTAACCACTATTATATATGCTTCTAAAAGCCCATTGGTGAGAAGGAAAAAACGAACAAACGAAATTTTACGAGAAAATTGACCAAATTAAAGAAAGATCATTCAAGCTCAAAATTGAATTTAAAAGACGGTTAAGATGTTCAAATGGGCACAGGGCCATTGATTTACTATTTTTTTTTTTTTTTAAGTAAATCCTTGACTAATAATTGCCATGATACAATACAAGCATATTTAACATACCCAAAAGAAGAGGTACAAATAAAATTAGAACAACCAGTGCCGAACCTTTTTCTCAACCCTTGTCTCCACTATGGTGTCAAGGGCTGGCTTCCACCCCTTGCCGGAAAACTGCCTACTCACAAATTCCGGCCTCTCGGCCCCAATTTCCGGCAACAATTCCGGCAACTTATATTTCTCACTCTTCGTCCTCTTCATCGAAACCTCCTCCTTAAACGCATCGACATGGCACATAGCGGCTAGCAGAGGGAGAACCTTACGAGAAGAGTACGTTGCGAAAAATGAAGAGAGTGGGTGGTACCTGAAAGATGACTTTTCCTTCATTGGAATCCGGCGAGCCTCTTCTGGTGTCAAGGCCTTGTTCCCTCTCCTCATGGGCAAGACTAAATAAGCTTTGTTAGGTGTAGCCTTGTGATCAGCAGGAAGAGGGACCAGCCGATTTTGAGATACGTCCGGACCCAGTTCGATCACAAAATGATTCGGATTCTCGAGCATGAGCTCGGCTATGGTTACCGGGGTCTCGAGTCGTTGGAGAGTTCCATCAGGAAAGACGATTTTTCCGGCAAGGCCCGAAGAAGATCCTAGAGAGATGTAATTTCCCATGGAAGAGAGAGAATGGCTAAGGAGATTCAATATCAAAGCACAAGTTACAGACATTAAGCATCCTTTTTATTAAGAGGGGGAGAAGAAGGGAGCACCGTTTGAGTTTTAATTTGCGAGGTGTGAGCCAAATGAATGGAGAGGTGCTAGAATTTAAGAAACTACCGTCTATTAAATAACAACGAGTAAATCAAATATTTAAAAGAAAAAAAAAAAAGTCCATGGCCCCTCCTCATTTGTACGAGTCAATCTTCGTCGTTGCTTTTAATTAATACTGTTTAGCCATGCATGAATTTTCTTACACGTCATGCTCCGTTTGGGCGGTCAAGATTTCCCAGCGAAATCCGACGGTTCGAGATATCTTGTCGGAGGCTAGTGAAACTACATCTCAACCGTCACTACTCAAAAAGGTATTTGTTAAAGCTCAAAAGAGACTTTTCTTCTTTTAAGTAACATTAATTTGGGCATATGGGTTTTGTTAGAAACTACTCCATTGCGTTGACTGCGTAATTTTGCATTAGTGAAAGATTAAGAGGGGGGGGGGGAGAGACTGGTTCTTAAGGAAATGGAGTAGTTTATGAAATGCTTTTTTTTTTTTGGTGAAGTAATAAGGTGTTAGTTCATCAAATATTTGTTTAATTTCCAAGTCTGACCTACTCCTCCTGTGCTCCAACTGCAAAATATAACAAGTCCATTGGGGACGTTAGCAAGCGTATGAGGGTCACCTTCGCTTCAATGTGGAAACTTTTTTCAAGACTTGGTTTGGTCGTTTCAGCTAAAATCAAGGTCACAGTGGTCATATGTGAGACAAAAGGCATTTATGAAATGTGTAGAGCATTGTTAGGGGTGGGAACAGGTCAGGTATAGGTCGGATCTGAACCCCACATGGACTTGGGTTGGCCTATAGTGATATTTTAAGGTTCTACACACATGCGTGTGAGAGGGTCTCACAAGGTCATTTCCCTATATATAATAACATACTTTAATATGCATTTATATAGACATATATATCGGGTTGGTATGGTTCAGGTTATGGTCAAGTGGACCAGACCCAACCCTCCACATCTAATATCTGGGTCCAAACCAAGACCCAGTCGGGTCGAACTTGAACCAATTTTTAGGCATAACAATAATCATTTTAAAGGCATGACATGCACCCCCACACCCAAGTCACGACATACTGATTTTCATTCCCACTGACACCACCCCACTAACACCTTCAAAAGGCTAACTCCTAAATTATTGAAAAAAAACGGATAACGGGTTTGTCTTCCCCAATGAATTACCAAAAAAAAAAAACAGAAGTATATGATAAAACTATTTATCTTTTATACAAAGAGGTTACAATGATTCTCGACTATTAGATGTACAATTGAGTTGCTAGAGATGTGCCCAGATTCCCAAACAAAAATTCTCAAACCTTGTGACATACCCTAATATGTCTTATCTCACATCCGACATTGGGTTATTGTGACATGTTTATACTGAAACTAAATCATGTTATAGTTTACAATCCCAATACTTAAATCTTATTTTATAACGTTATTTCTTTATCTAGGAACATAAAAAAGTACTTTTTTTTTTTTGTTTTTGAGATTGTTCATTAGGTTAAAATTTTTACCTTCCGAAAGTTTAGGATCTAAAAATATTCCTAAATTGAGTTTTACCCAGAGAAGATACTCATGCAGTAGTAAAGGATCCTTTCATTTTCAATAAATAAGGGTGTTCTCTTGTGCAGTGATTGCGGTTCAAGTGCAGAGAGCACTGTATCTAAGTCTATCTTGCCCCAAAAAGAGAAGAGACAAATGAAAATATAGTATTATTCCCTTTTTCTATGATCATCATGCAGATGGGGAAACGACGGTTACGTTAAGTGATTAAGGAGCTGGGCCCATCGCTTTATCAAAATATAACAAAATAATAAAAATAAAATGAGAAAGTTTATAATGAGATCATTTATCTTTGGTACAAGATGATCACAATTGATATTGACTATTGGATGTGATTTTGGATTGGTGCAGTTATTTTATTGACCAAGTTCAAAATCCAAAAGAATTTTTCTCGAACTTTGTGCACATCCAAGCTATTATATTTCACATAAGATGGTTGTAGGTAATTGTGGCCTCTATATATGAAAGGTAAATGGTCTCATTGTATACAATATAAAAAAACATAGGAGCATTTACTATAGGGATTGTATAATTGTAACCACTTTTGAAACAAAGTGGTCAAAATTACCTATAATTATCCGATGTAAATTTTGATAGCTTGGATTTGTTACGAAGTTTGAAAAAATTTCTTTTGAAGTTTGAGTTTTGTCAATAGAATAATTTCAGCCACCCAATTTCACATCCAATGGTCAAAGATTAATGTGACTACCTTGTACCAAGGGTGAATGGTTTCATTCTATATTTTATTTTTTTACTATAAGGAAGAATTGGAAATAGGTTTGAGGTCCAGCTGGGAATTCACCGGATTATAGTTAGTCCACCCTCCCAAAATCCATCTTGCACACTCTATTTTGATCTAAAATTTTAAAATTTTACAATTCGACATCTAGACTATCACAATCCTGAATTGTAAACCCTAAACCAAAAAAAAAAAACATTTTAAATAGATTCATCTGTTGCCCTTTTTATCGACCGTTCATATTAATTCTAAAATGTTCATTGGATACATGTTTTTGGAGATCCAAATTCACGTATTTGATGATTTGAGATGTGTTTTGGGACCTAAGTCCCTAAAAAACAGGGCGAACACGAGTTAGCCGATTACAAGTCCCGTTTGGAAAATGGGGCCATTAAGATTGAGACTTCATACCCATCGTGTCTCTCTTTCAAAATGTGTTTCAAACCTTTAATTATTTTATTCTCCTCTCCCATTCATTGAAAATAATTAAAGTGGAGTACTTAATTTCGCACTCATTATGTTTCCTTCTAGAAAAGTGATTGAAGACACCATTAGTTATTTTACGCTTCACCGGTTCGCAAATGATGATTAAAGCAGCCACCTAGTCAATTTTAAGTAGACTAAGTCATGTTTTGTCAAGGTTAAATATTAATATTAAAGTAGACTAAGTCACATTTGATTCAATATTAATTTTTGATATTTAAGTAGATTAAATCATATTTTATTCAATATTAAATTTTGAAATGCCATATTGTTTAATTGTTTAGGGTATGAACTACCCTACAGTCGAATTCCAATGAATCCTTTCACTAATGGATGGATTCTACGAATTCTAGGAAGCTTCGTGTAAAGCCCCAATTCTAAACTCAAAACATTCATTTACCATGGAATTTTATTCGAACAGAATCATTTACTTTAGAGACAAAATATTGTTATCCTTTAACTCTTTTTGCACAGGAGAGCTGGGTTAAAACCAACTTCCATAACTCAAAAGCAATTAGGAAGACATATCTGACCTCAAATATCAGACATTAACACACATAGAAATGATCACAGATACATAAACATGAATGTTAACAAACAGATCATCAGACATCCCTTACAAACCTTGGACTATCAAATAAACCATCGTATTGCATGTGTATGGATAATGGTATGTTATCCGCCATCTAGTCCCAGATGGACGGTGGTGATCAACCTTACCTGGGTGAGTCATCAGAAAATACAGTCAATGGTGAATGGAATTATGGAGTGCCATGTACCACATATAACTTGTGTATGGTAAACTAAGTTACATTAAATGTTGCCTATTTCCCCATGTTGTTCCCTTGAGCTGCCATTCTTTTCATGAATCAACATCATATAAGCCAATATTTAGTGCTAAACTAAAGAATACTTATCCTGCTTTTATTCAACAGTTAGTCGACCTAAGGGCTCAAATGGTAATAAGACAAATAGCAAGGCATTTCGAATCTCAGAAAGAGAGAACCCAATCAAACATCACAAATCCAAGAAACAAAGATATCTCATGGGCATAAACATTCATCAAAATATGCATATGTAGGTATGTACACATAATCACAAGTCACAAACCTGACCAGCTATAATGCCAGCTTCATGTTAGGCTGTAAACTTCTGCTACCACTAGTATTGCCTTTACATAACCTTTTATCTGGATGGTGTTCATACAAGAAATGAGGGCAACCATTAGCATGCTCCAGCACAGCCGCCACTAACGGCTTGAGAGGTGTCAGCAATGGTTTCAGAGAGGTCTCCATTAGTCCTGGTCAGTATCATGAACTGTGTCGTGTTCCAACTGTCCAAATAGAAATTAGTCACATGAGATTATGATCCACAAACAAGATAATTATCCCCATAAGCTAAACGGAGGAATCAGATTTCATGTAATACATTTCATTCGAAGATGGCAGCAAGTGAAAATCAATCCTCCGAAAACTAAGTTAGTCACAATGAGATTATGATCCACAAACAAGATAATTATCCCCATAATCTAAAAGGAGGATTCAGATTTCATGTAATACATTTCATCAGAAGATGGAAGTAAATGAAAATCAATCCTCTGAAAAATAAGTTATGCTATCACAAGTTACAGTAATGACCATGACATGCATGTAGAACTTATGTATCCTGGAGTTAATCAAAGAGGCAATGTCTCATAGAATTTCAAAATTTTGGTTTTTCACGGATCATCATTGGGTAAACTCAAGGAAACTTTAGAAGGAAAAAATTACTTAGGAGATGAATGAAAAAAGTTAGTTTCCCAGAATTGTTCTTATTCAGGCTTCTACAAACTCATAATTTTCTTTCAAACATTTCCACTACATAATTTCCTGTATGTTTACATTTATGAGAAGCAAAGTAAGGTAGAAACTATCCATAATATGAAATAGGGAAGATGAATGGTAAATCACCATCTCTCATTCATAAATGAACTGAATCATGTGAAATGATCAAGAGTCCATTAACTTTCTTCAGTTCAGCTTATTATGGCAGTTTACCAGAGATTAGGGTATGCTAGACACCTAAAAAAGTTTGGATCTCTTTGGATCACTTATTTAGCACTAGGACAACAAGAAAATAACCTCATGTCTGCTTTCGTGAAAAAAGACCAATTGAAGTGGAGGGCTTCTTCAAACAAGAAGCTGAGGCAACTATTCAATTAAATGATACTACAATGTTTCCCATCTCTTCTTGGGAAACAAAACACTAGAAAACAATGGCATTCTTCATTAAGTACAAATGAAAATATACTCACCATAGCTGCGTCAACTTTAAGCTTGAGTCTTCGATAATCCCTTCGAGCTTGGTCTGACTGAAACATAACTTGAACACTATTGAAGGATCTATCTACTCTTTCTTCTGCAAGTTTTCGTCCAATCCTAAAGAAATCCTCTTCCACAACAGGCACCCCATCCTCTTCTATTTCAACAGGTGTGGTGGGTTCAACCTGCAACCCTCGCAATCCCTTCCTCTTTTGACGCCAGCGCAATATGCCCTTCTCAAGAATCCCAACCGACCATAGGATTTTGCAGTATTGCCTTCTCACTTGGTAGCCTCGGAAAATCGCCTGTTAGATGTAATAGAAAGGAATTCAGCTTCCATTAATGCAAGAAATGGGGACAAAAAACAATTAACAAACTAGGACTTACAAAAATCAATATGACACCAAATTAATTCCTTTGGCACTTTTCAAGATATTAACATACACCAAATGGGGAATTCGTATAAGGTAATTCCTTTGGTGCATTGCAAGATATTCATTGTTTTCAGGTGTACCAGTCAAAATTTCATGCAAGAAGAAAACATTACAAAAACGAAAAATACAAAAATTTAAAAAAGCATTATACTTCCATGTGCATTACTGAAAGGAAAAGTATAGGATGCTAGCTTTTGGGTTCCAAAGAGTTGGCTAGCACCGTCCCATCCATTCAATGTCAACATCAGAAGGTCGGGGTATACCTTCCTCTTCTCAATGTTTGTCAAACAGTTCATCAAGCCCTTCCCAATAAGATTAAATTTATCTTCCAATTGACGAACATAGGAAAGAACTTAAAAAAGAAGGCCAACAATATTCTTAACAACAAACATCAGCTTTTGAAAAGCTCCACTACATTTTCATCAGATTTCCAAAATAAAATTGAAACTTACTTTCCTCAAAGCGTGTGATATCAATGAAAAGCAATTTTTCCAAAAAGCCCCACGATTTTCAGAAATTTTTTGAAAAAAGAAATGGAGACATTGCATAAATTCCCTATAAAAGGCACAAGGAGAAAGGGAATATAGAGGACAAACTTACTTGAATCTTAATAACTTGCCGCCGCATATTTAGAAACTCTCTCCTTATCTTCCATGTACGAAACCTATGTTGTATTCGAACTGCAGCAGCAGTTCTCTTCCTTTGGGAGTGGGCTCTGTAAGCATTCTGTATCTTCATGGCAGAAATAATGGCCCATTCATAATCGGGCTTGGCCAACTGTACCGCCTTAATTCTTAGGTTAAAAGAGTGTTCTCTAAAAGCTGCCTGAATTTGAGAAGCTGCATTAGCAGCAGTTCTAATTGCTGCCATCGAGTCCCTAATGCAAAGCTCTTCTTCGGTGAGGTTCTGAGTGTCATTAGTATTTTCCAAAGAGGCCTCATCTGAGGAACCCAAGTGGCCTGAAATGTGCATATCTCTAAAGTGAGCAGTAAGTGCTTTCTCGCCAAGATAGGCAGCCATCCCTTCAAAACCTTTTCTCAATGCAAGGTCAGCTGCAGTGCATCCACCAGGACAGTCCGGAGTGGGGTCCGAGACTAAGCTTGCGTTGGCACCTGTGGACAAGAGAACAGCGGCCATTTGTTCCCTACATTACAAGCTCAATGCCTCAGAATATGGGGTACAACGCTTCTCTGTTTTTCCCAAAATAGATGGCTTTCTTTTGCTAGTTATGAAAAAGAAATGCCATTAGAAAAGAACCGCCCAAGGAAATGTAAATTTGATACCAGAATTCTAGTTTTTTTTTTTGAACTAGCCGAAGAACAGTAGAATGAACGGAATATTATACAACCCTACTGTGAAGAGAACTATAAAAGATTGAATAGTTAAAACCAGTCTTATGAGGACCGGTCTAGTGCTTGAACATGTGAAAGGGCTCTTCCAGTCAAACTCAGACCAACCAATAGTCATATCGGTCGACCCTTTTTTCCAATATAAAAAATTAGAAAATTTACTAAATTATCAAAAATTCAATAAAAATCAGAAATACATCAGGTCAAACGAATGAAAGGATGGTAAAAAAGTTTGGTGGTTCCAAGATTAGCTGACTACATTAGGTAAAACCCATGGAATAATTTTACTCATTTTAGATAAGCCAATTTTTAAAAAATGGACATAAAAAAAGAATAGACTTTACTCCATTTGTAACAAAATATTAAATAAAGATGTTATGTTTGAAATAAACTTTGTTCACAAAATTATTTAGATAGATTGAATAAATTGTCACGACAAAAGGAATATATCGTACCCAAATTTTAGTAAGATCTCAAAATGAAAAAGAAAAATGAAAAAATGACAAAAAAGGAAATAATTTTGACAAATTTGACCTTTGTATTTTCTTGAAAAAGGAAAACAAGATATAGTTTTTTTTTTAATCATGATTTTTAGGAACAATATTTGGCAACTAAAAGTTCCCATGCAATCAAAATGAAAAACATGGAAAGAAGGAAATCCTGTAAAAATTTGGCAATAAATTTGGAAAAAGAAGGAATTAAATTCAACTTTCCCAAACCAAATTGGTTCAATAGAACCGACAAAACCAGCTATCGAACCGCTTCAACCAGTCCAATGCCGGTTTTGGCTGGTGCTATGTAATTCCTGGTCTAGGACTTCAATTGGACCAGACAAGGTTCTAGTAGCCCGTTCTGCCATTCAGACTGTAGGTCCAGTTCGGTTTTAATAACTTTGATTAAATCTTTCACAAATCATACAAAAAGCAAGTGGGTGCAGTATATTTCACTCTAAGTACACTAATCAACAACTGTTTATCGGAAACGTCTTTCCCACAACATGAGACCGATTTTAGTGTTGTCTTGAATATATAGAAAAGACTACTAGGCGCAAAACACAATGTATAAACAAAACCTAAGGTGGAAAAATTTTTTGGTCCATTTCACCATGACAAGGTCATATGTAAGTATTGAACTACACACCTCCCACAATATGCAGCCCAGTGTAGAGCCGTCCAACCAGAGGCATCCCGAAAGTTTATAGACATGCCTGACGCAGAAATAGGATAAATAGCCCAAGCATAACCCAGGATAGCACACAAATGTATAACTCCTTGCCCATGACTATCTTTGACAGCTGGTCTCCTCCCTTCAACCACTGTTTCTAGAAGCCATTCCCATAGTTTCCCTTTTAAGGTCAGCTCCATAAGATTGGATTTGGCTTGTGAGAGTGATATATTTTTACTCTTTGTTGATTTTAGTAGAGATGTCCACTCTTTTTCATATGAGGAGATTAAGGACGAAAATCTTCTTGCTTCCCTCATGGCCTTTGGAGTTTCTTTGCTATAGAGGACTGCAAGGCCTTTAGTTGTAGAGAATAGTAAATGGGCAAGCCTTACTTGAACGTCAAAATCATCCCACTCAAGCTCATCAACCTTTGGTGAAAAACCAATGTTATTAACTTGGTTGCTTGAAAATGGGCGATACTCAAAGCTGTAAACCTGACTACTAGGAGTCCGGCAATCCAAGGTCAAGTAAAAATCATATACTCCAGAAGAATGAGGTGGCGCTATAAACCTGAGAACTCCAGGTTGGATTATCTCTGCAGGAACAGTGACATCACCAATCACACAGAACCAATTGAGCTCCTCAAGAGTTGCTTGAGTTTCAAGGAGATACCCAGTCACTATAACCTGCAAAATCCAATAACCCATACAATGATGATGAGAACTTGAGCTCATCACAGAACTCAATATTTTGAACACTATATAAATGGTAACTATACTATGATCCAAGGGAACATGAACAAAACACACCCCATGGGGCCAAAGCAATCCATAAAATAATCAATAAGGAAGAGAGATGGGACCGACCATTGGGGTCGAGGCCTATTGTAGTTGGTCGGACACTCTCCATCAAAATATATCTCTTTAATGTACGGTGACCAACCCAATGGACTACAGCATTTCCCTAGTCCATTGGATTGTAGTACAGTTTATGATAAACATGGAACCATAAACAAGAAAGTCCCATTGCTTCCAGTGAATAAATTAAAACAGCAGATGGAGTGGCAATAGAAACCACACCTTTGTCTCTTCTGTCGCAAAAGCCCAAGCAGGTGAAATGTCAGTTATGTAGAAAACTTGCCCTTGTCCAGGAGAGCCAGGGGGGTTGTTCTGAACATAATTCATAATTGTGTTGTAAGTGTCTTGTGGCTGCAATGCATCATCATTGATTAGCGTCTCAGATGGGGCTGACTGAGTATACTGATTTACTGCCTCCTGATCTACGCAATTTCTCTTGAAATTTGAGTCCATCAGATGGCTGGCATGCCTTCCCTCGGTGTTGGACAGAAGTACATCATTAACCTGCAATCCAAAATAGAAGGAAATCAAATATCATCAAAGAAGGGGAAAAATGCGAAGCAATAAAGAAAAAAGGGGAATCAAAGTAATAAAGGTTGATTTAAGCTCATTTTCATAATTAAGCTGCAGCTGATTGAGTCAAAGGGAAAACATCTCACCAAAGAGATTTAAAAGATAAAACTTATGATGAAAACCCATTCCAATGGTTTGCATATGGCACGCCATATTATTTTTGCATTTGGGATAATGATAGGTACAGTATAATGCAATGTACTGTTGAAATGAATGTGACGGAGATAATAGGAACAACAGAACAGGAAATCACCCCATAGCGGATCCCACTCTCTCTAGAACACACTCAATCAGTTCAAAAGAGTGTTTAAAACTTGTCGTGTTGACTCTTGAACTCTCCCAAGTCAACTGGACATGGCAGAATGGTGAAGCTCGTCAAGTTTCACAGAAGTCGACCAAATCTCACAGTTCTGCCTTACATTTTGAATAAAATTGGGGGAGGCCTACATGACTCAGCCAAGCCAAGTGGCTATAACTATGCCCAGGACCAGGTCCAACTCCAAGCAAGTTTTAATTTACTTCTAAATATGGTAATGGCCCCAACGGAACTTATGGTAGACTTTCCCTTTCAATGAGTTCGAATTATCATTATACTGAGCAATGAAAATAGAACTTCAAAATCACATCCAGATGAGATGCCCTTATATGTAGGATCTCACAATAATCAAGGATATTAAGACCAGAAAAACAATGATCCAAAGCTAAAGGCACCAATTAATATTCAGAAGCTGTATTTATTGGATCTGTTCCTTGTACGATCTAAGTTCCAAAAATTGAGGGACTACTCATTATCAAAAGGTTTATAATCAACAAAACATGAAGATAACTCTAAAATTGTTCAAGACTAGAAAGGGACTACCTTTGAATTGACTTCAGAAGGCCCAGGATTACTTAATTTTTTGTGAGAAACACTTGTATGAATTTAACCTACATTAATTCTCCATCAACCATTCAAAACTCCCTTTTTACTTAATATTTATCCTTGGTCAGTCACTCACAATTAACATTAATAAATCAAATTCTAAAACATAATCATATCTATTGTGCCTCTAACATTTTGCCGCCAACTGTGCCTTGCGCACATGTGTCTGTGAGAATGCATGTGTGAATGACTTAGTTGTGTGTCATCAAGAAGATCCCCAAACATTTAAACATAGAAAATTCATATAAAGTAGAAAGATTCAACCTACAGTAAATGAATCTAACAATAACACTTACAATAGCTACAGAATCCTTTTGGTCACATTGTGCCCTCTCAGAAGATAAATCTCTCCCTGTTACATGGCAATGTTAGGAAAAAGGGGGAAAAAAAAAGGAGAAAAGAAGTTCTCCAACTAAAATAGTGTAAAGCAAGGGAATTTCTGAGATAACCTTCATCAGGAGCAGTATTAAGTATACCCAGAAGATCATCCCATTCATATGTGTTTATTTCATGAATGATTGACTCAAAATTTCTCGTTTCTCCAGCTCCAAGAAACTGGTTTCCCATCTCAGCTGATTTGTATGCAGTGGAGTCGGCACCTGATAGAGCACCAGATCAAAGCTAAACTTTCTCATCATGAGCAACACAAATATCTATGTCAAAGACAGCTAAACAAGGCCCAAAACGGTAATGATAAGAAATCATCAAATTCATGGGTCAGCATGATAAACTAAGTATAAATTTTAGCAAGCTCATAATTGAGGGGAATCAAAATTGCTGAGAGTATAATAATACTCTAGTGGACAATAAAAAAATCTGTATTCCATGAGGTCATTGCCATCCAGCAAAGTGAACAGTGAGGGAAAGGAAGTGGGACCCAAGGAAACCGCCATGAAACCAACAGTTTCAATGGGCAGCAGTAACCCCCCAACACATCATAACTTCCCAGAGTCCAATCAATTACAGCATAGTTCGAATGAACTAAACTTTACTAAGAACGTTCAAGGTTCCATATTGTAGAATGAAGTAACTTCACTAAGAACATTCAAGGTTCCATATTGTAGAGAGTTCCAGAGCCATGTAGCATTATGTGCAATGCAATGTCCAATCAAGAAAATTAAATTGACAACTCAATAAGAAAGTGAAGTAACTTAATTTTCGGACGACACAACTCTCTATCAGTAATTAATTTCTTACCAGGATTATTCTCTTCGGAAGAGATAACAGGTTGGTCCAAGTAGCTTGAACCTGAACTGGAAGTCGATGGAGTAGATGGAGAAAGATGAAGTGCCCTTGGCCGACCCAACAACGAAAAAGCCTCCTTAGATTCCTTCCGCGAAGAGATAGTACCATTTGCAGTATCCTGAATTATGAGGGATAACCAGGTACTCACTAAATATGAAATTATCCATTTTTTCAAAAAGTAAATTATAAAACTGGATATGAGCATTGGGACATTGTAAGTTGCATAGAAAAAAATCAAACACCGGCTGATAGTTGTTGCATAACTGCTAATGCATCCTTAACAATGGGAAGAATGTCATTATACAACTCTAGATCTGATAAATTACTTAACCTCAGTATGACATGAATGGTAGGAAATCAAATTACAAAGCTTTTGCTCCAATGAACAATCGGCATGGTGAAACCCTTCAATTTTCAATGATTCGGTAGAAAATAAAAAAGCAAGTTAATCTAAATCCAAGAAGGGCTATAAGTAATCACAGCCCTCTCAAGCCCGTCATATGGAAGTGCAATCATCAGGCATTAAAAAGAATCACACTTAGTCTATAATAAAAATGTAACAGCATCTCTGATGCACCCATGCTAAAGCAAGGAAGAACCCAAAGAAATGGGTGCATCAGTAGTGTAACAACACCAATACACATACCAGATACTCAAAAGATACTTGTAAATGTAAAATGACTTAAATATAAAAAAAGGTGTACCCATAAAACATAATACTATGCCTTATAATATGGTAAATGGATGTGTCAATGTGTTTGACTGGGAAGCACATATTTACGCGTTGTATAATATGTTATAAGTGTTTAATGATTTTTCTGACAGGTTACTCATATCAGTGTTACACTTAATGATTTTTCTGACAGGATACTCATATCAGTGTCTGAGTCCTGGATGTCGAGAAAGATACAGTCATGTCCTGCTTTACATATCCTAGGATGTTAGAAACAAAGTTGACTCCACTAAAGAAATATGCTCTCTGACACAACTTTTTCAAACATAAGTGCAACCATTATGATGGAAAAAACTCCTAAGGTAGAAAATATATCTCATAACATTTGCCGCAAACATTGGCACTAATTGGCATTTCAAATCACAAATAGAGACCCCTTATGCAAGATAGTTTAAATCCTAAGAAAGGCAAGCAGGGTAAATCCAATGCAAGTCAATATCCAGCAAGGGAAAGCAAGCGTACCTCAGAGGTATCACGATAATGTACCAGGACAATGTGTGCATGTTCACTGTAAGAATAGGTAAAAGAAAGCTTCAACAATCAAAGGCATTATGGGAAAACTGAATAAATAATGATTTGTTATGCATCTAACTAGTGCACTATGGCCCCATCTGATATGAGGGTAAAAGTTTATAACATAGATGGCCAAGGTGCTGGTGTTTATGGCACGGAATCCCCACTTGGAAGAATAGCATATTGAAAGCAATACAAAATAATTCAAGTTAAGAGGACAAGGTTGAAAATGGAACATCATTTCTTCATCTTAAGTAAAACATCAAAAGGTAATCAATATACAAATTTTTATTCGATGTCTTATGGGGAGGATAGCAATTAGCCAATATGATGTATACACTACAATGTATGAGATAATTTACTATAAAACTGTTGAGACGACTTGCTGACCCAGATGGATATTTCTCACAATATTTTTTAGAGAAATGGCTATTTATCATAATATTATTCTAAATTTTTCAAACAAATCATCAGAGCATGCCACATAACAATACATATTACACTTCAAACTTCAGCAACGTGCTAAAACTGATTTGTTTACAATTTCTACTTTGTGATGAGTAGCATGTGGATGAAGAGTTGTGCATACGATTAGAATATACCTATCCAGTAGCCAATAAGATCTTCGAGCAAATTTGGGCTTATCCAGGCCATGTGCATAATATACGTGGATCCTCTCAGCATTACCAACCTGAAGTGAGAAACAGTTAATGCGGTAGGCACCTGTATTCAAGTAGTATTGGAGTTCAAAGACATTTACCCAACACACATATTCGCATGCACAGAGAAAGCGAGAGAAGAAAAAAATCAGCAAACATATAAACTTTTTTTCTTTTTTCCTTTTTAAATGTTAACTTGGGACCTATGAGAATGGAACTCTAGACGTCACATTGTGGCACCTCCCAACTTGACCACCCATGCCTAGAGCCTGTTCTCAACATCAAACACTACTACCGAATCGCAATACGGATTGATATCTTGCCGAAAAAGAACTTCACTTTGACGATCCCTGTGCAGTTCAATTGATCCAAATTACAGGTCCTAATTTCTAAAAGGAATTCCATGCAACTCTCTACCATCTAAACTTGCCACTATTAGCTGAATCGCAATGCTAAACCCACAAAAATATCCAATATCTTTGAAATTGGCAGTTTCTAAACAAAAGAACAAAAAATTGTCCAATTCACAATAACAACTAGGAGAACTTGCATCCTATCCACACTTTAAATGAAGCATGCTCATTAGAAAAAATACCTAAGGAACCTGTCAAATGCAATGTTGGCAATCAATGTCCAAAGAAAAATAAAGAAAATGTATGTGGTGATGGATAAAGAATGGGATTGATGAGCAAAATATGCATGAAATGGTGGATCGCTCTCTCTCCATCACCATCCATTTCAATAGATGGTAGTGACCCATTGGACTATGGTTTTTCAAGTTCCTTGGACTAGTTTGTACACCGTCCAATAAAGCAAGCATAGCATTGCAGTCACTGAAAAAAGCATTGCACCACACAAAACTATACCGTTACAGGCTCTTACTTTTAATTGTTCATGAGCTTCTCGAACAGTCTTCCCATCTTGCTTCTTCTTCCAAACATGGCCGTCTTTGCGAAAGTTCCTCAGCATCTTACGGTCAAACAATACAATTGTACCATCTATGTACCATTATATTAAAAAAAAAGGCCAATCAGATTTCAATTTTCCATGCTATTTCAGCATCATCCATGCAGCTTTTAGCATGAAGTTCTGGAATTAGCTTTCATCCAATGTCAAAAATATTCAATAGAGCAACCTAGTAAAAGAGAAGCCTAATTAAACAAAAAGAACTAAAAGTGCACAAAAAAGGGTTAAAATGGACATTAATTAATACTCAGAGACATACATAATATACCCATAAAATTAACCTTTGAACAGAACATCACCAGATAATCACTTAATTCCATTTACCATCCCCAGTTATGAATAACATAGCATGTAACAACTATCCGTATACAAGATCGAGCTTTGTAATAGCATGCTGAGGACCCAGTCATTTTGATTGGGCCTTTAGGGTAGTCAAATGAATGTCTAGCATAGAATGACATAGGCATGATTTTACGCTACTTCTTACTTCATCTCATTTTATTCTTGACGCCACATTCACCAGGGGTGCAGGTGTAAAAGCATCAATTGGAGCACAAAGGAAGTTGATTTTGAACAGCATAAATATTTTGCTATGTAACATGCCAAAAGCATGCAAAACTTTGCAGTTACCAACCAAGAAAGAAAAAAAGAAAATAAAATAATTCAGTTGCCTCTCAGAAGTAGAAGTTTTCGTTATTGTGTATGTACCTACAAGTTGTATTCAGAAATGTAAGTTTATGCAAGCAAGTTGTATTCAAAAACCACATTTTGATCTTTTATAAGGTAAGGAGGTCTCTCTAACATAACACGATGTATGGACACCATTTGGAAATTCAACCTTAGGCATGTTAAAATAGCCAATTGGCAGCTATAGATAGATAATATCATGAATCTATGTTATAATGAATTGAATATTGGAAACTATTGCTAGCCTAGACCAAGAAACTAAATATTATCAATACATGAGGTATAATTCAGAACCTGATAAAACAATTTTTACTGTTTATTAAAAAGGATAACCAGAACAAACAAGTGATCATTTATTTAGATGGCACTCTTCTAAAACTGCTGACAGAACAAATTTTTAGCACCTAACAACATGGATAGGGAAAAATTTCAATACATGTTCAACAAGATTTTTATTTATTATATCCTAATGTATAACAAGACAAGGAAAAGCCCCTCATAAGTTTCACAGAATATCAACATTCCCGGATTTATGTAAAATATGCACATTTTAAGCATATCATTATATGATTTAACTTTCCCATGAGAGTTAAACAGACTCTGCAATTCTTCAATAGCAAAGGACATCCCTATAATATATGACTCAATCCATATAATATATGACTCAATTTCCAAAAATCTGAGATTATGAAATTTAGTTAACACGATGGCCACTGTAAAAACCTTTTGAGTGCTCTAGAATGCATAAGTTAAAAATGAGATTTCAAGATCAATATCAGTATGAAGGGTAGATGTTTACACCTCGTGCTCTTGCCTCCAAGTGCTAGGAGAAATATTACAATGAGATTGAAACAAAAAACACATAACAGTAAGAAATTTACAAAGCAAGAAACCAGGATATGTATTTATTACAGGATAACAAGTGTAGAGAACAAAACCACAGTGCCGATCATGAAGACTCTTTCCTAAGCAAATTCACATGTAAAAATACATGATTCAAAAAGAAGTGAAGGAAAGGAAACACATACTTTCTGGAGAGTCCAACGGTTTGACATGGACATTAAACAATTTGTAATTAGACAAAATCGCATGGATCTCATTAGGCCTCAGCCACCTCGTTGTAGCCTCAGTGGGTATCTTCCCAATTTGCAATTCTGCACATATACCATGCCAAAAAATAGTTATCAAATACTTATTGTGAAAACAGCACATATTTACAAAAAGTAGAAAGCACTAAAAAGCTGAACATAACTTGGCAAGAAACGACATGAAAGTATAGGCAGGCCAATGAATGAAAACTTTCAACTATTTTTTTTCTTCATGTTATTATATGTAGGACTCTAATTCAGATAGCAAAAACTCCAGATAGATATAGAGCAAATGCTTTATAATAACTCATACAAAATCAAGCATAGCCACCACAATACAATCTCGGCATCATGTTCATTCCAGAGTTACTACTGGCGCATAATTTGAATAGTTTGCATGATCTAGAAGACGAGAAAAATATCTTTAACACACACACCCATGCACACACACACACACACAACATGCACATACACATACATGCGTGCACCGAGAGAGAGAGAGAGAGGTGTATGGTACAACATGCGAAGAATACATATATGTTCATTTTCAATGTGTTTTAATGATTCTGACTTTCTTCAACTAAACTTCGTCCCACCACACTCAAATTACAGTAAAGCAAGTCTAATATTGGCAACCAACCAGATCAAAGTGAAGTAATTTTGCCATTGTCATTAAAACCTCAGTCTCCATAGCAACTCTTTCAAGAAGACGTACCCACCACAAAGGAATCTTACAATATTATAATAACAAAATTTACGTTATTAAATAATAGAATTTTAAATAAAAACTAATCTCAAATCAATTACATAGAACTGAGAATAATTACTGAAGCACTATACCTTCCAAAGTGCGAAACCCATGAATTTCCGAACCTAACAAACAGTCTTCGCTGCCCTCTAAGAGATCCCTTCTACTCAATCCCTTCAAAAACAAAAAACCCAACTCAATTTTACCCAAAAAAAAAAAAAAAATTTTGAGAAAAAAAAAAAATCGGAATTTGGAATTCGGAGAGAGAAGAAACAAACTGGATTCTTAGTCATTCTCAGATAACCCAAGCCTCGCAAGTTTCTAGTCCTCCAAAGAAGAGAAAAGCCTCTTAAAATTATCATACAACATAGAAAAAACAAAAGGTATAACCATGAATTTCAGTCTTCGCTGAAAAGAAATTGAGGAAATCAAGAAGAAGAACACATAAACTAGAGGAACACTATTCAATACTGTTTCTATTGACAAAAAAAATGAGGAGACCTTGAGAGAAACGAAGAAAGCTAGAGAGAGAAAAGGGTGTGAACAAAGGGTAGCTCAGATAAATTATTGAGGCTATACCTGTGTTTTCATTTTTGGGTGGCGTTGAAATCGTCCGAGCAGTCGAAGTGTACAGAGAAAATGGTTGAATACACTGTCTGTAGTCCGTATGAGACCCTTTTTAAGGCTATTTTAATCCATTAATTTAATTGCCACATAAATAATTCCTTTCTTTAAAAAACTACGTTTTTACATGATTGTACGTTACTTTATCGAGAATGATTTCGGGTTTACTGATGGGAATTCACCCATGAAAAAAAAAATCAACCGAAAATATGAAAAGCCAAAAGATTTCTGTAAAAAACATTGGATCCTATGGAAATTTGATATCAAAAGTTATCTGAATGGTGTGAGAATCAATTTTTATCTTTAATTATAAAAAACTTTCAAAGTGGTTTATATCAACTTGATCTATAAACGCATCAAAATCTTGAAAATAAAAAATACTGATAATATATTGCAAGATGTAGTATTCATTAGGATTTGAAATCTCTCTTCTTCTTTGACCTCAATTCTACCTTTTAATATATCAATCTTACAAACTTTTACAAAACAAATTTTAAAGATTTTAGATGTGGACCTCAATTCTGCCTTTTAATATATCAATTTTATGAACGTTTACCAATATTAAAAGCATTTTTTTTATTGGTAATTCAATGAGGATGACGAGCCCTTACCCGTTTGTGAAATCGTTAGTGGTTAGAAACCTAGACCATGTTGGGGCACAAGTGATGCTACTACCATGACCAAACCCCATTCTCATATTAAAAGCAAGGTGAGGTTTGTATTATGCAAATCCATGATATATTATATAAGCAAGGTGCACCCTGATTTTTGTCGTAAGATGTAATTCTAGTATTTAAAATAATAATAAAGGGTGAGAACTCGGGGAATCCATCTCACCAACCACTTTTAATTATCTCTTATCGCGCCCTAATTGCCACCTAAATCTCTCTCCATCTATTTTTCTAAATCTCATATTAACTTCTCTTTTTAAAAGATAATAAAAAATAATTTCTACTTATCTTTTATTTTCCCTTATCTCTCCCCAATGAATCCCTATATCTATCTCATATCTTCTCTTTCTACCGGACAATAAAATATAATTTCTATTTTGTAACTAATTCACAAAATCCTCTCACCTAGCTTCCTATTCTTAAAAATAATACAAAAAAATTAATAACACTAAAATTTTAAATTTTTGTAATTTTTTCTCCATGACTATGACTTGAAAATATAGGTTCAACACTAATTATAAAATTTAAATTTTTAAAAACAGTACAGATCGAGTAGATCTATAAACACTTAAAAATCTTGAAAATTGACATTTTAAATAACTTCTTATCAAATATACTATTTTTAAGAAATAATTAATTTATTTTTCTTCATATCCATAAACTTTGAAGCCGATATCACTTCAAAGGTTTTCCGACTTAAGAACACTCTTTTCTACTGCACCTTTGATGTGCACCTTACTTCCTTAGTATAAGATTCCGACCTTACACGAACTATTTCCTTGTTAAAAATACCTTAATCAGCGTCAATGAGACTTTGAAAGAATAGGCAATAGCCATTTGACTCAAGGTAAGTAACACAAATGTATCTTGTGATGAATTCTCTATCCAACCAATTTGTTGAAGGGAATATTACTGTTCCAAGTTGGGAATCTGAAAAGCGAGGGGCATTCATGTCATCTGCCAACTTCATTATATTGAAGCAAGATAGTATTAATGTCTTTTTTTTTTTGGGGGGAAATTACTTAAATGTCTGTTTTAATTTTTGTTATTACTAAAATAACAAATACTTTTCGTTATTACTTAGCCCTACATCATAGGAGAATGGAAAACTGATGACCAAGCCCATGATACCCTACTTCCAAGAAGAGATCTCTTGTCGATTCAAGCTATGGGAATATCTAGACGAGGCCAAATTCCTCTCAATATGCTGGGTGAAACTTACCAAAAAAATGCTGGTGTAGGGGAGAGAGAGAGTTTAAAAAAAATGTCATTCTTATATTTGTAATGTAGAGAGAGAATACGCAGAGGACTCAAGAGAGAGAAAATTATTGAATAATAGAAAAATTTCGGTTCTTCAAAAATCGAAATTGTTGATTTTGGTTTTTGAAAAATGAAAAATGGGTAGTTTCTTTTTTTAAAAAAAAATTGTTATGAAATCCAAAAACAAACATATCAGTAATAACGGAAAGTATTCGATATTTTGATAATAATGAAAACTAAAACAGATATTTACATAATTTTCTTTTTTTTTTTTGTTTCTCAACAAGCAACGCATAACTATAAGTTTCTTGGAGAGACATGACTTGAGGTAAATTAGATGAAGGGATTTCCAAAAGGGAAACCAACCATATTAGATGATCTTTTATTAACAACAAAAGGTAACTTCAAATTACNTATATATATATATATATATAAAGTAGCTNCTCTCATAACTAAGTCGGTGGGAGGCAACGGACGACAC